CAGCCTTGTGGCCAACCTGGGTGCCAACCTCCTCTCCTCTGAGGTGAACCTCCACCTCTCCGCTGTGGGGATCAACTGGGACCCGAAGGATTCGGCAGGGGACCTTGACCCCTACCTCCCTCTTGGCGGTTCCTTTGTTCGCCAACCCCCTGTGCGCCCGGACCTCGATCTCCCATGGCCCGGCCCAGCTTGTTACTGGCCATCTCCTCTACCTTGTGGCCTCCCTCCAGCCGCGACAACAGCGTACATCCTCCCTTGACTCAAACTACTATCATCTTCCGTGAGCCCCCACTCAATCTGACTGTAGGGGGCTTCATCCGTACCACCCTCATCTAAAGTAAGGATCAGGTGATTCTTGTCCCTGTATTCAGTAGTATGCAACAATCACCCTGGATATCCCACACGCGACACACTGTATCACACACACGCACACACTTCAATCACCTATCACCTACGGCGGCTATGGCCACTCAACCGTGCTGGCTATAGCTACACAACCTCAACTCTGCCCACTTCGTCTTCGGGCGCTCTGCAGACCACCTCGCACAAGTTGCTCAAGCAGCGCTTCTGCATGGCTTACACAGGAATGAATCAATGGCTGGGCGCTGCCTCTTGATTTGTACTTCTGTAGCTCGTTGGTCTGCCCCTTTCCCATGCCCCTGGTGCACACAGTCCCACACGGTACTTGCTTGACTGGACTGTGACTGACTGGGACCGGTACCGCTGACTGCATGGGTTTGCATTGCCAACTCAATGCAGTTGCACTGCCGACGTACCGCAGTTGGCTCACCGCTTGCCCACTTGCCTCTGTCTAAACGTGAGCAAAAATTCGAAAGGCCACCGCTAGGACCCTCCGGAAGGCTGCAGACTTGGCCTTTCGAATACTGCAGCAGCTACGACCTTGACCTCGAGGAGACCTACAGCTACGACCTCTAGGCCTCACTAAGACCTCTATCCAACAGGTCTACAGATCGAACCCCTACCACCTACAGACCTACGACAGCCTATTAACTGTTGTGAATACACAGGTCACGGGTTCAACTCTCGGGGTTGACACAGATACTGTACACAGGCAAGGTAAGAACTAGGGATCGGACCCTGGGATCTGCATTCGCTACTGCTAACACGTGAATATCGTTTCAATAAGAAGAACAAGATTAAAAAAAAAAAAAAAAAGCAAAGATGATGATGAAGAAGAAGAAGGAAGAAGAAAAAAAGAAAGAAAAAAAGTCTCTCTTTCGGACCACTGTGGGGCGATTGCTGGCGAGCTGCCACATGGCAGCCCTCTCTCTCTCTCCCTCTCTTTTCTCTGTGTCTCTCTCTTGGTCTCTCTCTCTCTATCTATCTATCATCTGTGTCTCTCTCTCTCTCTCTCTCTCTCTCTCTCTCTCTCTATCTATCTGTGTCTGACCATCGGCACCGAATTGCCCGAAGAAGAAAAAAGAGAGAAACAGCAAAGAGGAAAAAGAAGAACAAATAGAAGATAAAGAAGCAAAAAAGAAAAAAAAGAACAAAAAGAAGGAGATGATGAAGCAGCAAAGAAGAATAAGAAGAACAAAATGGACAAGATAACCAGAAAGAAGACGAAGAAGAACAAGATGAAGGGGAAAAAAAGAAAGCAAGGAAGAAGAAGAAGAAAAATAAGAAGAGAAAAAAAGCAGTAGAGAAGAAGAAAAACAACAAGAAAAAGAAAAAAAAAAAACGCAGAGAAGAAGAAGAAATCCTCCTTCTATTGCCCCTCAAGTTTCGATGAATGCACAACATGCCCCTCTGACAGCCGACTTACCCTGTTGTGCCCTTGGGGCCTCGAATGTTTTCCGCAGGCCCCTGTCAGCATGGGGCGTAACTTTCCACTATGCCATTACTGGACCGCTGGTGGCGTTTCGTCGGTCCATCCTCGAAATGTTCTCACGAGGGGCATGCATCTTTTCGTGATGCCCTTGCAGCAGTGGTGGAGGGAATTCGAATTCCAGATGGTTGGTTTTTGACGCACCGGCACGGAAAAATGGTGCAGCAGTCGGTCTCGTCACTTTCGCTGGTTAGAGTTGGCATCCGACTTCACTGCCTTCGAGTTCGTTGGCCTACTGTGGAAAGGTCAGCGCGTGTGTGTGTGTGTGTGTGTGTGTGTGTGTGTGTGTGTGTGTGAGAGAGAGAGAGAGAGAGAGAGAGAGAGAGAGAGAGAGGATGATCAATGCACCGGCCAACAGGTCAGTCTCCAACCCCACGGCTGGCCTTGCTCTACTTCCATCGATAGGATCAGCAAAATCGAATGAATCTTCTGCTAGAACATGGAAATATACACTGCCACACTTCTTGTGTGTGTTAGAGAGAGAGAGAGAGAGAGAGAGAGAGAGAGAGAGAGAGTTTTCCATCTATAGGATGAGCAACGCACTGTCGAACAGGTAAGCCTCCAACCCCACGGCTGGCCCCACGCCACTTCGATCGATAGGATGAGCAAATTGAATGAATCTACCGCTAGAACATGGAAATATACACTGCCACACGTTTGTTTGTGTGTGTGTTTGTAGGTGTGTGTGTGTGTGTGTGTGTGTGTGTGTGTGTGTGTGAGAGAGAGAGAGAGAGAGAGAGAGAGAGTTTTCCATCGATAGGATGAGCAACGCACCGGCCAACAGGTAAGTGTCCGACCCCACGGCTGGCCTCACGCTACTGGAAATTTCTGATATGCCCTGGTAGCACCTCTCCGGGGCCCCAGGGGAAGGACTGCGAGTGTCAACAACTGCGACAGGGGGATGCTGGAAAGGTGTATGGTACCAGTAAGGGCACATGGAAAACTGTCAGGCCCAAACGACACCAGGGGTTTTCCGGAAACATCATATGTTGTCAAAGGGGCAGGACACGGTAAGTTGGCAGTCAGAGGGGCATGACGCAAATTAATCGAAACTTCAGGTCCATTTAAAAAAAATTCCCGTGTTTTTTTCACTTGTATTTTGACCAAAAAAAGAAAACCCAAAAACCAGGCCGCGAGGTAGGCCTCGTTGGCCGTGGCTGCGCGAACTTTTCTGTGAGGAATGTGTCCTCGTGGGGCCCTAGACAACATGAATATGTTCTGGACTGTGGCCGTCAGCAAGCCTTGTGCCCGCCCTAAGTGAAGACAGGCCTGAATATCCACGAGAGGCCCTTATCTCAGCGTTTACCAATGTGGGTATCAGACAGTTGCTGAATGCCAGTTGGTTGAAGTACAACCTGGGCCTCACCCTGGGCTCTATCCAGAAGCAGCAGCTGCGTCAAGCAATTGAGCTCAGGTTGCAGGTGGTTGCTCCCTGGGCACACACAGCGTGAGGCCGACACAACGCGAAGTGGCCGCGGGCCAATGAGAATGCAGCATTGTCGTCACACCTACCCCGCGGGCCAATGCAAACACAGCAAACACTTGGAGCCTGGAGAATCCTTGGTGTGCTCAACTGAAAAGGGCCCAGGCCCTGAACTGTAGACTTTGGCCTGGGTACAGACACTGGGGCCCGACCGGAAGCGACTGGAAACTTCCTTGGCCAGGCCCAGACAGGCCAGCAGCAAGGCAGTGACTCCCATATAGCGAGGAGGCCAGCCAGGGTGAGGCAGTCTGGTCTAGGCACGTATTGCGGACACTCTGATGCGATAGAGCGCAAGTGTCTGCATGCGCTAATGCTGGCTGGGGCGCACGCGGGCGCTAAGAGGTGCTGGGCGGTGCAGGGGGGTGGGGCGCCAAGCGGCCGTATGCGGGCTGCAGGGGTGCGGGCAAGTGATGAGGTGATAGTGGTCTTCAGGGAAGGAGGCGCAGTTGTGGGTGGGCAAGGTCTGATGAGGGGATTTGAGAGAATGTATCTGGTGTATGTGGGAGGTCGTCATTGGTGTTAACGTCATGTACATTGGTCTTCGTCATCGAAGTGAGCCGGTTGCATGTATGTAGATAGGCTAGATAGGATAAGTAGAGTAGGCTGGGCGCTGGGCGCCATACTGCGTCGGTGTGGCCTGAGGGCTTAGATATTGGCTCACGAGTTCGTTGTATCTCAGTTATTTGGATGGAATCTTGGTATATGTGAGCTCTCTGCTGGTTACATGACTATCTGGACTACTGCGTGATTTTGCAATTTGGTTTTCTGTTTATCGTTCTCGCTCATATTCCTTGCATTTCCGGCCGCTGCGGCCAATTTGTCCGCGGCCTAGGCCATTGGTGTCACATAGAATACAAGGTAACCGAATTGTCTTCTGACACACCACGCAGGTAAGCCCCGCACATATATTCACTCACGTTCTCTCTCGTGATGTCTTCCACTTTGCTGACACCTCTGTCTCTCTCATACTACAGCTATGGTGGCAGCCACCGTCGAATACCCTACTACTATGCTCTTGCACACACTCTCAGTAGTCACATCAGCTCGGGTGTGAAAATAGGGAAAAAAAAGAATTAGATATACACAGCCTTTGATGACAATCAGATGCAGGCTGGTACCAGTACCAGGGTAATTTTGCGAAGGCTGGTACCGGTCTGTTTTAGGCTCGGGAAAATGCAGCTTTTGGTTTGTTGCAATAGGTCCGGGTGAACTGGTGGTTTAAGCGCCGGATCAGGAATGTACTGGGGTTTTGGTCTATACATAGAGTTACTGAAGAGAGGCAGATGAGACGTTTGGGTGCATCAAATATGCTGGAGCGTGTTGGAGTTTCCTCCATGCTCATGTTTTGAAATGTCCATTTTCTGTATGGAGCCCTTTGGAAATTGTACTTGCCATCCTCTCTTGAAACAGCGCTTGGCACATTGTCTCGTCTCCTGTTTGTCAATTAACCGGGTGGAAGATTTTGCTGGTTGCAAGTCTTGGAGAGGAGTGACCTGAAAGTACGGGGAAGTGATGATTGCATTTTGCCGTGGGAAAGTTGCCATGCACTCACTCTCATATCAGGGTGAGCGGTTGAGTTTAGGATAGGCTAGTGTTTCAGCTCGTTTGCCATGCGCCAATGGAGTATTAATTGCCATTTAGTGACTGCTGTTTGTTTTTCCTACGCAGGCTCGAGAACAGCAGGAGATGCTCTGGAACAAGGAGGAACAGTTGAGGGAAACTGCAGCATGGGCATTGCGCGCACAGGAACTGGAAATGCTGCATATGAGTCTTGCTACAGACCTGCGTGAAAAGCATGAGCAATTGAACCAGCTCTGGGCTGTACATCAGCGGCAAAGTCAGCAGGTGAGGTCAAATTTTCACTTAGCAAACCGTTGCATGAAACTAAGGTCACTCCTCCTTAGCCAGGACCACAGACATCTGGCACGAGTGGCCTTGTGCGTGGGCTTGTTCTTGTTCCTGTCCAAACTATTCTTTGTGCGGAGAGATTGTGAATGCATCTGGGCACTCCCTTAGTGAGAGTATGCTGTGATCTCATAGGGAACATAATCTGTGAGCTAACGGACCCGTTTTTGATGAAAGTGATGTTGACACTAGATTTGATTGATGTGGATATGTCCCCCCCCCCCCAATCAACCGCCCCCAAAAACAAAACAAAACAAAACAAAACAAAAAAGAATATGGTGCCAATCCCAACCTGATCTTTGCTGGCAGACCTTACTGTGGGTGTCCCAGCGGCCGCCTGGGCCTGAGCTTGCGCCTCAGACATAAGTGGCTAGTGGGGACCCCCACTTTCAGCTCCTGAGTAAGGGGTGGAAAACTGAAATTAGGGTTTGGGGGGTGAAACTTTATGTATTTTGAGTTTTTCTTTTTTTGCCTGTTTTTGTTTTTGTGCAAGGTTGCTGTGTGCGAAATTTGGTATCATTTGGGGCATTGGAATTTCCTTTGCTGAGATTTTTAAATTTTCTTAAGATTTATGAAATTGCAATGCTGGCGAAATTTCATGAAACTGCACTTTGCCTTGCTGTTTTATATGTTTTGTGTTTTTTTTTTTCATTTTTTTTTTTTTTTAGTTAGTGTGATCTCCACTCTATGAATGGGTGGCAAGTCTGGTTAAAATGACCTTTGCGTTTTGTTATAAATGGCATGAGAAGTCCGGAAATTGAGGCCTCTGTTAACCGCCTCTCGCCTCAGAATGGCTGTATGACTGCTGTGTGATATGAAGCCCAACGTCACTGTTTGGCCTGTATCTGCGGGTATTCTTTCCTTGTCTCTTTGATGTTTGTATTTTTCACAGAGCAGATTTGTCTTCCTTATGCTGAGAAAGCACATGTTTTTGGTCTGATTCGTATTGCGAAGCGGGCACATATTTTGGTCTGATTCGAGGATGTCCCTGTCAGGTGTCTGTTCACACTTCGTCCTGTTATGCAAGGCCCACTTTTGTCTATAGTAAGAGCAGGAGCTGTCTTTATCATGTGTGCCTTCTCAGGTGTCTGTTCACTCTTCTGGCTCTTATGCAAGGTCCAGACGGTGCTGCGGGTCCAGCATGCATTTGTGGTCGACTGGCGACCCAGACCACATGCTTTGACCTCAAGGGTGCTGGACCAGGACTGTGCCCTCACTTGTGGACTGCTAGATGAGTGATCTCGGAACAGCCTCGAGGTGAGGCCTTCCGCGTACTCAGGATGACCTGTGCTATTTAGTTGGGTATTGGGCATTTGCACTGTCGAGGCTACCAGGCTGGTGGACAGCAGTGCTGAGCATTTAGAGGTTAGTAGAGAAATTTGATGTAATGGTCCTGGCGAGTCATGCCTGAGCACTCTTGATGATGTTTCGTACCGCACCCATTGATACCATCCCTTCATGGCATGTCGCTTGTGTTGGACATTTGCATTTTTGAGGCTGTCAGGCTGCTGGCGAGCAGTGGTGGGCATTGTAGAGGTTAGCAGTAGAGCATTTTGACGAAATGTTTGATGCAAGTCACATCTCAGCACTCTTGATGATGTTCCTTACTGCACCCATTCAGGCCATCCTTCATGGCATGTCCCATGTGCAGAGATGTGCTGGACTTGCACTGTCTGTTTAATTATGGCCGTCTGGCCTCTGTGTTCCTATCACGTGGAAGTCATGTTGCTTGCGATACTTTCTTTGCAGCCTTTCATTCAAAATAGTGCATGGCAGTGTTCAGATTGGATGGACTGCTTCTCTCCATCACCATCACTTCAATATGTGCATTGAAACAATGTGTTAACCATTGGGTATTCATAAGTTGGGACACACAGAGCCCATCACATAGCCAATACATCAGCTGTCAACGTGCAGGCAATGTCTACGATCACGTCCATGTATTCACCCAGGTCATGTTTGCATGTAGGCACACTCAATTGGAACGGATGTGTTTGCAGCCACCCCTGTAACCATATGTCTGGTTCAGAGGTCTGTATGCCACCCACCATTTGACAAACGAGCATGGTATTCTTTGTTGAGGGCTTGTATGTTCCTGTGTGATCAGACTTCTGCATGGTTTTGGTGTTGTGTGTGTTTCTCTGTCATTAATCTACTTCAAAGCTTACGGAAAGCGAACGATATCATCAGATGGTCATCGCAGGCCTACAGGCCGAGGTCAGAGAGCAGAGCCGGGTTTTGGGGGGTGGAAAGACACTCCCCACAGCTGCTACCCTCGCAGGGAATGATCAAAAGCATGAGCGTAATGGTTCTGTCGGACAGACTATTGGAGATTCTTTGGTGTCTGGTGAGTCACACTCTGGTGCCGAGGGTGGATCTCAAACAAGGGGACTGAGGAGTGTTGGAGCAGGTGCGGCAGTTGTTTCTGCACGAACAAAGCTTGCTGTTAGTGCACCTGGGGTTATAGATGCTGTCATCCCAGTGGTTATTCCCAGGGATGCGCCGAGTAAGGTGCGTGGATATGTGCTTGAATATTGTCATGATCCTAAACTCCTGAATGTTTTGTTTGATCATAGTTTTGAAAGTCTTCTTCTCAATTTTCTGCTGTTTTCTTAAGTCCTTCATACTGCGTTGTTGGAAGGGATCAGTAAATTGTCCTTCAGACTTTCTGGTTCTTTCCCTACGGTCCTGAGTGTATGTCCTAAGGTGTTGCAGGCTGTCGGAGAGTGGGACGAAGGGGAGGAGTGCTCAAACACATGCCTCGATTTGAAGACATCCCTGTTATGCTGCTGACTGGCAATTTGGTAACCACTGGCTTGAAACAAGATCAGTATACATCATACTTGCAACCGCACGAGCCGCACCCGCATAGATCGGATCCGTGCGGAGATCCGTACGGGGGGTGCTCGATCTCCGCACGAGCCGCACCCGCACAGACCGGATCCGTGCGGAGATCCGTACGGGAGTTGCCCGTGCGGATTTTTATTTTTTTTTATTTTTTATTTTTTTTTATTAAGACGGGTCCGAGAGGTGTTACCTGGAGGGGTTATAGTACGACCTGGAGGATGACTAAGGAGAGTGGAGATGGAGGAGGAGAAGAGGTGGAGGGAGGAAAAGACCGTACATGAACCCCTAAAGTGCCCTGTGCATCAAGCCCTAACGGCCCCTGCGCATCAAACCCTAAAGGACCGTCTAGATCAGCGTGACCCCTGCGCAAGGATGACAAACACAAATCGAGAAAAGGTCGAACAACAAAACCAGGGACCTTCGGGACATCCGGCGCAATGGGAACTACACAGAGATGATTAGCATGACACTGACGCAAGGATGACACACGATTCGAGAAAAGGTCCAAAAAAAAAAAAAAAAAAAAAGCTCGATAGATTGGATTATTTGCGAAATTTCGATACCTAGGTGGGAGAGGAGGAGGAGGAGGTGGACGGCGAGGAAGGGGAGGAGGAGGACGAGCGTAAGGAGGAGGAGAAGCACGCAGATGAAGGGGGGGTGGAGCAGAGGTCGTGCTAATCTTCTCTGTGTCGTTCTCAATCTTTGGGAACGATACAGAGAAGATTAGCACGACCTCTGCGCAAGGATGACACGCACAAATGGAGAAAAGGTTGGGAAAAAAAAAAAAACTCGACAGATTCGACACCTGTGGGAGAGGAGGAGGAGGAGGAGGACGACGATGACGATGAGAACGGAGGACGAGGACGAGAGATGGAGGACGATACAGAGAAGATTAGCACGACCTCTGCGCAAGGATGATACACACAGATGGAGAAAAGGTTGGAAACAACAAAAAACTCTCTCTCTCTCTCTCTCTCTCTCTCTCTCTCTCTCTCTAACACACACACACACACACACACACACACACACACACATAGACACACCCCGGTGCGTAGTATGTTGGAGCGAAAGATTCATTCGATATTGCTCATCCTATCAATTGAAGTACCCTGAAGCCAGCTGCGATATTGGAGACTTATCTGTTCTCTCTCTCTCTCTCTCTCTCTCTCTCTCTCTCTCTAACACACACACACACACACACACACACACACACACACACACACACACACACCTGCGACGAGGAGGAGAGGTGGAGGACGAAACAGAGAAGATTAGCACGACCTCTGCGCAAGGATGATGCTCACAAATCGAGAAAAGGTAAAAACAAAAAAAACAAAAAATTGAAGATTCGACACCTGTGGGAGAGGAGGAGGAGGAGGAGGAGGAGGAGAAGGAGGAGGAGGAGAACGGAGGACGAGGAAGGGGAGGAGGAGGAGGACGAGTGGGAGGAGAGGAGGAGGAGGAGGAGGAGGAGGAGGAGGCAGTGAGGATGATGAAGGGGAGGTCGAAGCTGGTGATACTCACCGGGCACTGGTGGCAGCTCCTCCCTCACAGGGCAGCACGGCAGCACGGCAGCACGGGGCGGCACTTCGCAGCACTTCGGAACGGCACTCCGCGCAGGCCACACACCCACCCAAGAGGCCAGGCAAGCCCACACAGAGTACAACTGGAAACAGGTTTCGAAAATTCGAAACCTCGCGCTCCGGCCTTGAGCGCCGCCCCCAAAAAATTTTTTTTGGCCTTGGCAACAATTTTGGCGGGGGGCCTCCGATGTGTCGTTTCGACCCCTGCCAATTTTTTTTTTTCGGGGGGGGGGGRGGGGGGCAGGGTCGGGCCATTCCCCGCACACCTCGTGCGCCGCACCCGCACGGTCGGGCCCGTGCGCCGGACGTAGGGAAACTCGTGCACGAGGTTGGCTTGCATGTATGGTATACATTATACATGACGAGCTGTTCTTTTATTGATGGCACATTTAAATACATGGGGGACATCTTGGACATTTAAATAGCAGATTTTCTGACAAGAAATTCGCATGGGATGTGAACGATGCAATTTGTAAACAAAAGGTGGAGTGCTCAAACACATGCCTCGATTTGAAGACATCCCTACGCTACTAAAATGGCTAACGTGACAAATCTGAAATCTGGGCCGTCGTCGGTCCTGCCGGCCCACGGCCCAGATCGACCGAACCATGTAACAAATCTGCCATCTGGGCCGTCGGGTCCTACCAGACCGACGGCCTGGATAGATGCGGTCTTAAGATCTTAGGACCGCGCCGAGATCCACGCCGTCTGTCCGGACAGACGGCTCAGATAGACACTCCGTGGAGTGCCGTGGGGTACTACTGGGAGTCAAGTGGCGTGGGCTCAGATAAACGCGCCGCAAAGTGCCGTGTTACTTTTTGGTGGCGGCGCGCACGTTTTTGTGGCGGCACGGGCAAATTCCGCGGCGTGGGCAAGATCGACCCCTACGCTACTCTTCGACCCGTACGCTACTCTACGCTCGATTTCAACTTTGTGGCAGCACGGGCAAATCCCACGGCGTGGGAAAGATTGACCCCTACGCTACTCTTCGACCCCTACGCTACTCTACGCTCGACCTTACTACACTCTGCACTGCTGCGCTCGACTTCAACTTTACTGCTCGACCCTACACTACCACGCTCGACTGCCACTTCACATGTGTCTGGCACACGAGACATGGTGAACCCTTATCCATCAGCCAAATTCATCCCGGGCAGACTGTCGGGGTTCAACCTCCTGATGAGTCGGTGGAAGTCCGACGAAACCGTCTGGCTTAATTGTGTTTTTTTTATGGAGTCGTGTATAGCGAACATAACGACACACACACATACACAAACACACCACAGAGAGAGAGAGAGAGAGAGAGAGATGGTACACGTCTTGCAGCACCAACTACCAGGTTCTATCGATCAATAGGGGCATGATAAGGGGGGGAGAGAGCGAGAGAGAGAGTGCTCGACTGCACACACTCCCACACTCCCACACACACAGACACACACACACACACACACACACACAGAGACTGCAGTCGGCCGTTGGATGTGGTGAGTGGTTGGCCGGTGACACGGGTAGGCCTTGAGATGTGGTGGGCACAGTGATTGCCATGCAATGTT